ACGATGAATCCTTGAGGTCTGATGCTCGATACATCACTGACATTCCGTATTTTCAAGGCGATCTCTGGCCCAATGTCATTGAATTTTGTCTACAGGTAGGTTTCTTCTAAGCTTACATTTAATTGAAATAGAGAGGAACTGGGCTAGGAAAACAGTTTTCTTCAATCTCATTTATAGCCTGTAGGATTTTTGGTGTCTCTTTAAACAAACATTCACGCACAGTTGGGGTATTGTTTTCCACCCTTCATTTCGCAAGTAGTCTGGGATATTATAAACGGAGTGGGTGCGTTGGTGGCTACATTTTTATTCATGTTGGCAGTGAAGAAGGAAGCCTCTTAGATTACTCCAAATTACGTTTTATTGATTGCTTGGTATCCTGGTCCTTAATGTTTGACACCTTGAATATAACTTGGATTCTCCTCACCATCAAGTACATCAAACCGCTGCAATCAATACAGTACAACATGACTTGATCTTACCAAGACAAGTTCTCCCCGGAACCTTCCGATCCTTCGTAAGTAGCACCCAAACCGTTAGGGAACTTATTTGTTTATTTATCGTCTATGCTATTGCAAGCCTTATTTGAGTACATTTCTTCTAATTTCAAGCGTGCCTTCAATAAAGTCCGTCAAATAACGCAAAATTCCATGTCATTGGGCGATATACTGATGAATCCAAACCTTGGTTTTACTTTCGACGAAGCGGCTCGAAAACTTCTTTACGACACATTGAAGGATTATCGGAAAGACTTCCATGTTGTCCGCCTCAATTCTCCATGCAATCCTGTGCGTATTGTCGATCCTGATCAACTTATCTGGGGCCAATGCTTGCAGAATAGGGAAAAGTTTGTCATGGAGGTGAATAGGAACAAATTGGATTTCGCCATCCTCAGAGAGGCCAAATTCCTAACAACATCGATGCTCTTTGAATTGCACAAAGAGAACAATGACATGAAGTTATATTTCTGCCACGTTTGTCAGTCAATAATTAGCAGAAGATGGAAATGTAACATATGTCGCGACTTTTACCTTTGTCCTGACTGTCATCAAGCTGGAGAACATCCTCATTTTATGCTCGAATACCAACCAATGTCTGCTATTCCCGTATATGCTCTTCCCACTTTTCTCGAAGACTTCTGTCATGCCAGTCAATGCCAGCGTCCTAGCTGTGAACGCAAGAATTGTAGACTGACGAAGATGGCATACAATCATTATATTGCTTGCCCACAACACACTACCGACTATTGTTCCATGTGTTATCAAATCAATTGTTGCATTACCTCACACTCTACACACTGTTATCTAGCAAACTGTCCGATACCGTTCTGTAAAAACCCTAACCCACGCATCACTCCTCCAAGTTCAGGTCAATCCAGTCAGCCTCAAAGTCAATTCACTCGACCGACCACAAGTGCTACTGCACCACATTCGATCTGTGAAGTTTGGCAGCAGCAACAGAACAAGATACAACTAAATCAACATCTCGAAATATAAAAACAAGTCACGAGATTGTATTTAATAATATCGTAAATGTCCTGTAAAACAAGAATTAATATTTTTTTATGTATGTATGCATATATATATATATATATATATATATATATATTATGTATCTGGGGTGCGTGATGGACTTACCTCCACGTGGTGCACCCTGGGCAACGTATACTCATACGGCAAAAAAGTCTATTAACCGGCAGTTGAATTCTGACTTCAAACTACCAGAACACCCTACTGTATGTCATATTGCACAGCTTCACAGTACTCATCTCACCTTTTCTCTGGGTCATATTCGACCCCTTCACATTACTCATCTTACCTTTTCCTCTACTTCCATTTCATATTCGGCTAATTCCGCAGTACTCACCTCACCTAATTTCTACCTTCGATTCGCCCCCTTTCACAGTACTCATCTTACCTTTTTTATAACTTTGTGTCATATCTGTCTGTCTCTTTTACGTCTGTGAATCATTATTCTGTCATCTGTCTGCCTCTTTTACATCCGTGAATCGCTCTTCTGTTTCCCTGTCTGCCTCTTTTACATCTGTGAAACGCTCTTCTGTTCTGTCTGCCTCTTTTACATCTGTGAATCGCTCTTCTGATCCCAACCCTTCTGCCTCTTTTACATCTGTGAATCGCTCTTCTGTTCCTCGTCTGTCTCCTCTACATCTGTGAATCACTCTTCTGTTACTCCTCCCGATTTGTTCTCACTTTGATTTTCCTCCCTCTGCGAAGCCCAAAGTCAGCTAAATGGCTAATGATAAATATTCAAAACGCCTGCCATTTGAAATAATATATATATATATATATATATATATATAGTAACGCAGAGAAAGGTGAGAATTTTCGGAACTTTTAACTGCGGGAAAGTAACTGAAGTCGATTGGTAGGAAGTCATATAAATGGTACGAGTGATAGAAGCAAAGACTTGTTGAAGTGATTCTTGAACTCGAATTGTTGGGTAGCTAATCCGCCACCATCTAAATGTTGGCACGTTGAGTGTGATACGACCCACGAGTGGGTCGTTTATGAAAATAATAATACGGCATATTTAAAAGAACACCAAAAGTTGGCATTATTGCCATTCAAAGATTGAGTAGTTCACATAACCCGCCAAAAGGCTATAGTAAGCGCCATTCTAATTCTAATTTCGCCTTCTTAATCACTATGCAATTCTTGTGCACAAATTGATGATAAAATAAAAGCATGTCTCTTCCACTGACTCTTACAAGTATTTATCGATTATTACTTACCATTGAATCCTAATTTCTAAAACTAGGTTTCCAATGGTTGCGTAGTAGACTTAATGACGTGAGCACATTTTGCTGCAGATTGATATCAAAGTGGTTATTGAAAATGAGTGCATTCGAACCGAGAACTGGTGAGATTAAGTAGTTCACATTGACTAGAATTCACTCCTAGTTGGTAGAAGAGGTGAATACTTCTTGCTGAAACTCTAATTTAAACTCCACCGACTTCTCAAGCTTTCAAAATTCTTTCTTTGGAACAAAAACTCTATGGGTGTTTTTTTGAGTTTAAAAGAGCTTTAAATGGGCAGCTTGGAAGCCTGAAAGATCATATCTGTAAACGATAGTGTTTGCCATAAAATTAACGTGCTATGGTTCGTTCATTGAGATAGGCTATTCGGGAAATGAATACTACACAAATTATTCCACAGTTAAATCTTACTAATCCCTCTAAAAATCAACTTGCCTGCGGATAAGGACAACCAATCTCTTGCAAAGTTCCTAGTATCAGTTTTTTCCCCAAAATTGGTTATGTCAAGCCCAAAATAGTGAGAACTGAGAAGGTATTCATATATATGTCAAGATTTTAAAAATGTGAGATTGAATAGAAACTGTCAATGGTGAATTATTCGAAAAATTCTATTATGACTGGAATCGATTTTAAAACCAAAATCCTCAATGGAATCGGACTATTTGGTGATGCTGAAGTTACGTTCAATCCATTTTTTTCACACAAAAATGGACCCATTATTTTGGGACACGTAGCCAAACACAGTTTAGTTCATATAAAATCTATGTTCTTCAAATGTAAACACAGCTCCTGTTGACCACAAATGACCAGCACCTTCACATCTCGTAGTTTGGGTGTGCATAGGGACTTACCTCCACTTGGTGCACCCCGGGCAACGTATTCTCATACGGCAGAAAGTCCATAAACCGGCAGTTGACTCCCGACTTCAAACTGTCATGACCCCACTATATGTCGTATTCGACCACCTCCACCGTACTAATTCAAACTTTTCTCTGCTTTCGTGTCTGTCTGTCTCCTTTACATATATAGAATCACTCTTTCTCCATCTCTTTCGAATTTTTCTCACTTTGATGTTCCTCCCTTCTGTGAAGCTTAAATTCAGCTAAAGGACTAATGGTAAGTGTCATAAAGCCCACCATTTCAAATAAACATCTCCTAGTCTAATTCTGTAAGCTGCCATACATCATGTAGAATGATTGTGTCACCTAAACGATTG